TATAAATAATTTTTACACATACATTATTTATATAAAATGTTAATAATTTATTTTTTTATTACAAAATAGTGCTATTTATATATTTTTTATTTAAAAATTTAAAAAAAAAATTATCTTTTTTATTTGCAAAATTATGAAACATTTTAATTATTTATAATATAGAGAGAAATAATTAAAATTTAGTATAAATAATATGTATAAAAATTATATATAAATAAATTTTAACTTATAAAAAACTATTCAACAATATATCTACGTCAGCCTGCTGAGTTTTGCATTTGCTTCTATTTCCTTCAACAAGAACATGGCATCACTTCACCAGGAAGAAAGAGAGGACACTTCTAGAAAGGTGGCAGAAAAATTCACGACCGAAGAGAAAAATGAACCTGACAGATCGAGACCACAACTGACAAATTGGGTTTGATTAAGTTTAGATTTTTTTAGTAAAATTTAATCAAACTAATTCTAAAAGGTTAAATTAGGTTTTAATTGATAAAGTTAAAAAATAAAAAATTGATGATTAGGGTAACAAAAGATTCGGTCCAAAATTTTTTTATATAATTTTTTTAAAGGTTTCAAGATATTTTTAGGTTTTTTCTCACTTTTGATCTAATTATTTATTTATTTAGGTAATTTTTAATTTTTTTAATGATTAAAATTAATAAAATAATAATTAAGAAAATTAAAAATAATTAAAAAAAATATAAGAATTATTTTTTGGTTAAAATAGAAAGAATTTCAAATGGTTATTCTCCAAAATTAACCCAAACCAATAAAGCAAATTTGTTTTGGTTTGATTAATAATTTTTAAACTTCAATAACTGAAAATTTAGTTACTGAATAATTCAATTTTGATTGAACCGAAATTGAACCGTGCCCCTAGCTACTTTCAGTGGATGCTACTCTATTTAATTCTCTGGATATTTTTTCTTATCATCTTGGGAAATAGCTGGGCAGGCAAAAAGTGCTGAATAAGAAAAATAATGATCCATGATCCAATATTAATAATAATAAAAATGCAGAAACTTGCACATAAATTTTTATGGGAATACTGCTCTCCTAATTACGTTTGGTTCTTCAACTTTACAGCCTTTGCATGACTTCTGTTTTAAGAGCACAACTATTGTTACGAATTTACAATAGATTAATGCAATTTTCTTAAGCTTTTTAGAATCGATCATACAATAGAGTAAATGCTTGTTTGGAAATTGGAATAACTTTTGATTGATTTTACTTGGAGTAAGTGGCAATTTGGCCTAGGCTTTATAGGAGTTTATTTATGGTAAAATGCTAGACCCATTAAGTAGGTGGGGTTTTCTTTTTCTTTTTCTTTTTCTTTTTTTTAATAATAAAGGGTTTTTAGGCTTTTTAGAATATGGAGTTACTTCCATATGGTTCTCTTTAGCTACATATATAATATAGTGAAAAACTTGCACATTAAGCTTTTAGATGAAGTTTGTGGTAGACTTAGGCTGCAATTTGGAATTATTGCGTACTCTCAATTATGCTATCTCAAAAATTATGTCAATATTTGATAATTATTTTGAAAAAATATTGTCCTAATAATCATTAAAATATTTATTTTTATTATTTAAAATGAATTTAATCATAACAAGGTCAATATTTTTCATACGTGTTAAGTGGAAAAACTTTGTGAGAAAGCAATTTCAAACATAGTCATAATAATAAATTCAGAAAATTTGAAGCAGTATTGTTACAAAAGCTTTACCCAAATAATCAAAAGTGACTTTCATTGCTCATACAATATCATTACAATGTATTTTGCACCAAATATGCATCTCCTAGAGAAGATTGATTTCTATGCTCTTTATTATTAAAAAGTAAAATAGAGATGTTATTATTGAAAAATGATATAGAAATAATTCTATTCCAATACAGTACATATATCAGCACCCCTTTTTCACTATAAAAATATGAAGTTCATAACAATTCATATTGTCCAGAAGCAGCTAGATCTATTCGATCTATGCATTCTGAATCAACAATTTATTAGACAATATATAGTGTTACATTAAATCTCAACTAAAGTTTACATGTATATAATTCTCGAAAAAAATTGTTTATATATATCCGACTGATTTATCGGATATTTACAAGCTCAACTTATAAGTGTAGATCATTGAATGAGATATGCATGTTGTTGGACATCCACCCGTACCAACTATCTTCATAAGGAGGCAAATGGAAGGAATCTCTAGCATTTAATTATTTTACTTCAATGACTATGGTATCTTAAGATGTTTTCATTTCATAGATTTGAAAAATTATCATTCCTCAAAAAATCAATAACAATAAAAAAATTTTAAAAAGTAAAAATTAAGGGAAATAAGGCATAGACGATTAAGAGACTAATCAACCATTTTGAGCATTTTTTTAATACTTAAACACCAGAATCAAGTATGGAAATTAGTAGTTTAAGATTGCTTCATGGTGTGAACGCTCATAGGGAAACTGTGTGAACCATAATCCTATAAAACGGAATATGATTATATGAAATCAAGGAACAATTAACGTCAAAATGAAAAAAAAAAAAAAAAAAAAAAAAAAAAAAAAAAA